ATAAATATTAGTCTGGTGATTTTCTAGATAACTCATTTTAAGAGAGCCCTACATAGACAAAAAATGTGAAATTATACAGAGATGGTGCCTTAACCTCAAAGAAAAGGAAGTTAAAAAAAAGTTTCCCAAAGAAATATATCAGTCTTTTCAGGGACAATTGCTGGTTATAAACCTAGAATAATCATAATGAATCTCTACAAGATTCCTTCTTTGAAAGGCATTCTAATGTTCTGCTAGATACAGAATTTTGCAAACCTGCATCAAAAAGTTATAGAGGTTAGTCAGGCCACCTGTTTACAAGCATCAGCAGTCAGGGAAAGTGATGTCATGCCTCCCATCATGTCAACACAACACAATTTGTGTCATCTGCATGATGATGTCATGATGCACTTCCTTTCTTATAAAAAGGTTATATTAAAACTTCATTTAATGTTGAAGGCCATTTACTAACTTTTCTAGAGCATTCATATGAAAAAGTGGTATCTTAATCTCAGCTTTTTCTGTACCATAAATCAGGAATAACGTCATCCTTTAATGAACCAGATGATCAGGAACTTTGGTAACACATTCCTTGTTTCCAATTCTCTCTCTCTCTGTCCCCTAAATGTCAAGGTTCATTCACTTACTTTGTTCCAACAAATTACACATTCAAGATCTGTGTGCAAGCACTATAAGTTCAGCATTCTAAACATAACTTATTTACCCCAATGAGACAAGAGTTGACAACAGTTTAGCTAAACAATAGTTCTTGATTGTCTGAAGTGGCCACACCCACTAACAGGTTCATTACAGAACATTCCAGGAGCATCTGCAATTGGGGAGAATCAAAAGAATCATGATGCAACTGTGTGATCAAAGCCCTGCACCTTTTTAACATGCATCACATACATAAAAAGAGGATATAGCTTTGATTGCCTGTTGTACCACCATCTTGACTTTTTTGACCTTCCATCAACACCGTTAGAATCTTCCTTAATTCAGCTTAGGTATGATGGAATAGTGCATAGTGAGAAACTGTATTCAAAGGTGGCTACGTTGCACTTCGATGCCATTCCACTTGAATTGGATACTGGATTTGGTGATACAAATTTGAACTGAATTAGAAAAAATAAAAAGCTTTTCCTGTTTTTAATTTAGTTTACATTTTTATTAATCTTGGCTTCTTTAGAATTTAAGGATTCATATAGGAAGTCTAGAATTTTTTTCCAAATTTTATTGCCTGATTATTCTTGGTTTCCCCTTTCCTTGTTCCGAGATGCATTATCCGATTAATTCATCATAGGCAGCTACTATCAGTGAGGTTCTGAATAGAATGAAAGCCAATACAGCTATAACCATTCTTATAAAATACATGGGCAGTAATCATACTAACTGCATCTAATTAATTTTAATTAAAGCAAATGTAGACTTTGTGATGGCTATTACTACTTTTTTAGAGTATAGTCCAGTCCTTGGTACTCCTTCCTTCAAAAAAGTTATCCATCCTTGGCATATAACAATCCCATATCCCTAGTAATTCAGTAGTCCACCAAATAAATATTTTAATTCATTTCTATCTTATGAAATTTATAATTGCCTCTATCAATCCAAAGACCTCAGCCCAGTAAATTAGTTGGGGAGAGACTTTCCAAAGAGAAAGGTGGGGAAATTCAATTTCGTCAACAAAACTAATACCTCAAAAATCTCAAAAATTCAGCATGGCTAAGTTTAAATTCCTTTGATGTCAAGGAACTGAAAGGATTTGTTCAGTTAGCTACTCACCAAATGACAGGCAGTTCCTGAAAACAGACAGATGAGTTTTAATACACTTGATGTCATAGATCTCTCTGAGCCATCAGTGTATAATCTGTCAATAACCTAGTGGTCCCAGCAGAGCATTATCTACCCCATAATCATACATTCAAAAGACAAGACCAAAACCTCATGTGGAAAATGATGGAGTGTGAGGCTGAATTCAAAGCCTTGAATTGAAGGAGCAGATCTTCCATTTTTCATCCCATTCTTAATCTGTCTCTATAACATCTTAACATGGGTAAACCTAACTATCGTTGTCTGTGATCCAGAACTGTAGCCATAATTGAATCTGATCAATTCTGTCAAACTGACATCTTTCTGGCTGGTTTGGGGGTCTTCAGTAAAACCTGACATTATTCTACTTATTCTTTTGAGGTGATATTACTTGAAAAGACAAATTATTCCACAATGAAATAAGAAACAAGATTAAACTTCTAAGTGATGTGTGATAATTTGATGGAGACAATAATAAATGCATAGTCTGTTTAATTTTCCTGTTTTAGTTTAGCTTAGTTTAGTTTAGACTTGGTTTTCCTGCTTCAGCTCTGGAGTCTTCTTTCTTAACCCCCTTTTCTGTAAGAATCTTTCCTGTATGTAGGGAGAAAAAGAAGGCATCCCAATCAACAGATCTCAGGAAATAATTTCTGTTGTTGATTGCTTATTTGTTTTAGGGACGAGATTTGCTGGAATAGTCTTTGCATTAACCTATTAACTTCAAAAGACATTACAGCTATCTTTGATTTCTGAATTAGTTTCCACAAATTCTGGGGATGTAATTTGGTATTATCAGCCAAATAGCTGATCTATCCTATTATTAAAGACTCGATGAAAATTCACTCTCTGCTTCCCCACAACCATTTTTACAACAGTCATTAAGTGAATCACGTGGTTGTTAAGCGAATCCAGCTTCCCCCAATGGATGTTTTTTGCAGAATTCCCTTAATGACCACATTTCGCTTAACGGACACATAATTCCCTTAACAACCACATGATTCACTTAACGACTGCAGTGGTTTGCTTAATGACCATCGTAAAAAAGGTTGCAAATCACGATCATGTGACTGCGGGGGGGGTGCAATGGTTTGCAACAATCATAAGTACAGGTCATAAACCACTTTTTCCAAGGCTGTCGTAACTTCAAACCATCATTAAACAAATGGTTGTTAAGTGAGGACTACCTGTACTTATTGGAGAGGGGGAAAGGGAATATCATTCTGCTGTAAATTGGACATTGTATCCAACCCATCCTTCGCTACCTTTGAACCGTGTGCCACAAGGTGCCAATTTTTAAAACATTGATGGGAGTTATAATCTAAAACACCAAGTTGCCCACCTCTGTTTAAGCCCTTCCTCCACCAAATAGGTTCCCTTTCCTATGATACATGAGAAACCAGTTTTCCTTGGAAGAATACCCAATTTCAGATATAACTTCCTTATTTCATCCTCAACTGTTTACAAAGCTATCTAATCTATCACAATGGACCGGCTGAAACTATTTTGGGAAGGCTTTTTTGTTGGCCATTAGAGTTTCCAATTCTCTTTGTGTCCTAAGAACCTGGGAATTGTAAGTCAACATCTATCCACTTTTGATTCCCTTCACATCTATAGCTAGCTGTGCCCAAAGTTGGTAATGAAAATATAATGCTTTGATCAGCACATTATATGAATAAGCACTGTTGTTTTCCCTTGGAGAGAAATTTGTTGTAGGAAAAGGACTGAAGTTGTTTAAAAAAATAAGGGGCTCCATTCCTAAAATAGATTAATGATCCAGTTGCTGTTGATCACAAGCCATGAAAGGAATGTTCAGGGGATCCATTAGCAAAGCAGGTATCTCTGCAGACTTCCAAATTTTCCATGACTAAGGTTTGTTTCTGATTAATCAAAAAATCTTTGGTCTCTATAATTGGTTCCTTCACTTTTTTTTGTGCTACTTAAAAAGTACCAAATTTATTGAATATACATGTCAAATTTCCCCCGATCAAAAGAGTGATAGGAGATATAATTCTACTTCCATAGGACTTTTGCATATATGGTAAAAACCAAAGAGAAGACATTTCTCTTTATGGCTTTGTAACCACCTGTTTCTCTCTGAAAGAGGAAACATATCAAAGTCTTATGTTCTTTTCACCTGGATTCCTATGGTGGTTTTCTACTTTTTTGTGATACTTTGTTACCTAAATATCAAACATAAAACTTGTGTAGCATTCTATAGCTGCACACATAATTGACACACTTGAAGTCAACATTCTTCCTATATTAGCACACAGTCCCATATTTTATAGAATAAAAATTAATCATACCCATGCAGTGATGGAGAGGTGAAGGGTTTGTAACACCACAGTCATATGGAGATGGATGGATGGATGGATTTGTATGATGTTGAACAACCTACATTTTATTTGTCTCAGCAGGAGATATCAACTGACCAACCTTTCCTGGGCTTTAATGCTAAGTAGATCAGTCCTGGTTAATACTTGGATGGGAGGTTGTTAGGAAGACGAGGACTATAGGCTACACTTGGCAATTGTAGAAAAAACACGTCTTGGAAGAAAAGAAGGGCCCACCACTTCCATCCTCTCCATGACTCAAATATGACTTTTTACCCTTTTTTATTGAAAACACAATTCTTCATATATCTGAAATATGGAGAGCAAATAGACTTCACTGATCTGAGTTCATATCCATGTTGAAGGTTCTTTGCCAGGATGTATAATTCCTATTCCTCACAAATAGAAACCCCCCTGTGCTACATTGTGAGGACTGGTAAACTATGACTACCTTATACTTCCTCGTGGCTCGGTATATACCAGGAAACATTCTGAAATTGCATTTCAACGCAAACGCTGCAAAGGCTCTATCCTTGAGGAACATGGTGAAGATACTAACATGACATCAGTGGTGGCTCTGGAGCCTATTACAAAGTACAAACCCTACCACAGTCCGGATGTTGCTAAACTACAGCCACAGAAGCCTCAGCCAGCCCAGGAAAGGATGTTGGGAACTGTAGTGCAGCAGAATCTGGAGCTCTACCACAGGTTCCTATCCATGCCATAAAACCAGAGTGGCTCATTCACCAAATTTATCTAAGGCTGGCTGGCTGTTGGTGGACACATCAACTGCTGCATTGGCTTCTTCTGTCTTGGTTATCAAAATGAGACTAGTAATTCTCCTCTTCTCTTTCCTACCCACCTTGCCCTCCCACCTAGGTGTCTCAGTGAGCGTATCAACTTTCAGCCTGGTTGCAATCTCTCTTGAGAGATACAGCGCCATTTGCAAACCACTGCAGTCTCGGGTCTGGCAGACCAAATCCCATGCCTTGAAGGTAATTGCCGTCACGTGGTGTCTGTCTTTTGCCATCATGACGCCATACCCAATTTACAGCAAGCTGGTCCCTTCTGCACTTCCTAACAGCACTGCGTCTAAGTGTCGTATTCATTGGCCAAGCAAAGTGATGGAGCAGTCTTGGTAAGAATGGACCGATTGGTCCTTGTTTTTTTTTTAATGGCATTTATTTTAATCTACCAAATTATGGAAAGCCCAGTGATTTCTTGCTCAGTGATTTCTTATTTCGGTGGAACAAAATAAGTACCATTGGAACTAGTTACAATAGTAATTGATGTCTTTTTTTAAAATAAGAACTGTATTAAGTTGTAAAATTAACTGTATTAAGTTATAAAAAGCATAAAAAGCAGAACTAATAATCAAGGAGAAAAGTAGAGAACAAGAGAGTTATAAATACACAAGTGATGGAAAATAAAGGAAAAGACAAAAAATACAAAAAGAATAACTTCCAACTTCTTATACAGCAGATGTAGATAAATCATAGAATAACCTCTTACTCTAAAACTGCTTAACATACATATTTTGTATAACCTATTAATTTAACTAATCATCAAATCCATATATCATAATTTCATTTTTGCTGTCTACTGCAAAAAGTCCAAAAGGGGCTTCCAACTGGCATTAGTCAATGTTTTTTCTCTAAGCAAAGCTGTCAATTTTGCCATCTCAGCTAACCCCATCAGCTTCACCATCCATTTTTCCATTGTGGGTAATGTCGAGTCTTTCCATCTTTGAGCATATAAAAGTCTAGCTGCAGTTATCATATATACAAAAGTAATTGTTGTCTTGATTACAAGGTTAACTCTAAAATTATAGAACGGTAAGTTGCAGATGTAGTAATCAATTGAGTCTCTTTCATCCCTCTCTTGTTCTAACGGTTGGTGCGTCCATATTACCCTCCCTACTTACTATGGACAATGGATACATTCTTCCCATATGTCAACCCAACTATCGACCCCAGGATCAAGTCATTATTCACAGGCTGGACATGGTTGCCTTGTAAGAAATGGAGAGAAATTTCATTCCCAAAAGATTCAGATACAAAAGCATCGATCAATCAAACCTAAACTTGCCAGTCTGAAGACCCACATAGTCCAGGAAATAAAAACTGAGCAATCAGTCAGGAGCAAGAACATTTCCCTCTCTCTCAGATTTTTTTTTTTTTTTTTAAAGGACAGAGGACTATCTTTTAAACTTATTTCTTTTGTCTTTCACCTCAAGAAGAGAGGACATCCTTTCCTAGACTGGGCCCCACCATCTCAACCAAGAGGAGAGAAAAGGGTCTTCTCTATGCAAATTAGTGTCCTTTTCATTGATTTACATGATAGACTGATATGGGTGTTTCTTTGTATCTTTAGTCCAATTTTGTCCTAAACTCCACCTGGTTCTAGATTTTTTTGACTGTTTCCCCGTTGATTGTGATTTCAAGTTAGCTTAGAGAAAGACAATGATGATCAATCTCCCATTATCTGCAACTGGGTCAAATTGCTCTAATTTGTGGGAAACATTAGTTAGTTTACACTGCAGAGGTACATATTCCCTGTCTATTGCTTTGGGAGCCTGAAGTCTAGAAAGCAAACTGCATGTCCAAGATCTCCTCTCTTGCATGCATAAGATTGATTGAGTTGCCAACTGGTTCAGAAAAGGAGCTGGTGTCTTAGTTTGTGCTTTTAAAGGCTCAGTAATGTTGAAGATGGAAGAAATATTGTTATCCCCCCAACCATTGTAGGTGATTGAAAACTTTGACCAACACCGTTCACTTTTCACATGTTTAAAGCTATATTTGCAGTGAGTTGGCCCTATTAGTTCATCTTTCAATTTCTTTAAAACTATTATCTGTCTTCAAGTCCAGAGACTTGAAAACAGTGAAACTGTACTTGACCAGCTCATAAAACAAATATCAACTGTGGTGAAATGGAGGTATGTTATGAAAGTTCAGTCATGATTCCCCATCCAGTCTCAAATTCAGATTCAGTTTAGAGCAGATTTTTTGAAATCTAACAAGCAATATCTGAGATCCCTACCATTATCTTCTTTCCCATTATGAACAGTAATTGCTACACTCATTTTTTTTAAAAAAATATATAGTACAGTGGTGGTAGAGGCAGAACAAAATGCTGAGAATCAGCTTTGCTGAAGGGCAGGTAAGAAAATGTGATTTTTCTACTGATCTAAATCTTGCTTGTGGCTTTTCCAGGTACATTTTCCAGCTCCTCATCCTTTTCCTTATCCCAGGGATTGTAATGATGATAGCGTATGGATTAATCTCCTTGGAGCTGTATAGAGGGATAAAATTTGATGCGAGCCACAGGAAACTTTCTCGAGGTAATCTTGAAGACTGAACCAGTACATTTTCTTTCTGTCTTAATAGCTTGACATGTACAAACATGATAAGTGAAATATATATTTTTATCAATGCTAAGATTGGAATCTTGCAGATGCTTCCAGTTTACTGTCAAGAGTAAAAAATAATCATTGACAAGCAAGAATGATTGCTTTTATTCTTAACATACACTATTATCTAGCTAGATATATGTATGGTTTTCAAACTCCTTTGCATGCGCAGAGACAAAACCTTACCAATGACATTATAACTATGTTCAAACAGCAATAACTGAATCATTAAAAATAAAAGCAATAGATTCTTCTTGTTCCCTTTTAACCATGTGTTTCTATTCCAGTTGCTCTTGGCTGGCCTTGACTGATTTGAAAAAATCTAAGCAGGGCAGGATCAAACCTAGTTAGCATTTAGACCAGAGATCACAAGGAAATTTCAGGACTCTCTGCTAACTGGTAGTTGAAAAACCATTCTGGAAGGAGGCAGTGTCAAAACATTTCCAGACTGTTCCAAGGAAAGAATACAGATCTGTCCATGAAATTACCAGGAATGGAGTGTGACTCAAGGAGACATTGCATCATCATCATCAATTAAATTTATATGCCACCTATCTCCCAATGACTGGGCAGTTTTAATATTTCAGCTGGGACAAGAGAGATGAGTTAAAGTTTCCAGATGGAGCACAGATGTCAGTTTGTTGTGGGGGGGGGGAGCCTAAGAGCAGGATGTCCAAAACATCAGGATGGCAGTCGCACCACCTGATCAAAAGCCCATCCATTTTTGCATGCTTTGCATGCCATCTATGTGATCAAGGAGCAGGGTTTTAATTGCACAATCACAGCCATCATCTGGACTTTTTTTTTTTTTTTTTACCTCCCCCTCCCCTTCACAGAGGCCCTTGCTTAAGAGTCCTAAGGCTTGTTAAAGATTAACACAAAAGCTTTCCTGGATCATCCATTCAGTTCACCCCAAGAGAATGGCATTTTAGCTAACCCCAGTTGTGAGGGAGGCAGGGAAGTTCTAGGAAGGGCGGGTTGGGGTTGGAAGCCAAGAGGCCAAATTGTTCTGAATGCTAATCAGTGTTAATGCCATTGTTCCTGCTCTCCACGTGCAGAAAGGAAAACTAGTGTCAGCAGCAGTGTCAGATACGAAGATGGGGATGGCTACTACTTAAAGAAGAACAAGAAACAGCAAGAGATACCCCTTCGCCAACTTTCAGCCACCAGCTCCTGCAGCAACAGCCAGAAGATTGACCGCCCAAGGAGCAGCTCATCCACAGCTAACTTGATGGCCAAGAAGTTAGTGATCCGAATGCTGATTGTGATTGTGATCTTGTTCTTCATTTGCTGGACTCCCATCTTCAGCGTCAACACCTGGCGGGCCTTTGACACCACCTCAGCTCACCTCCTCCTTTCGGGAGCTCCCATCTCGTTCATTCATTTGCTCTCTTACACCTCTGCCTGCGTGAATCCGATTGTCTACTGCTTCATGAACAAACGCTTCCGCGTGGGTTTTCTAGCAACCTTCACTTGCTGTACCAAGCAACACCTTCCGGCAGTCCGAGCAGAGATGGGAGAGGATGAGGAAGGAAAGACGACCAGAGCATCTCTTTCCAGGTATTCTTACACCCACATGAATATGGCAGTTCCTCCATGATTTGGGGAAGGGGAGAAGAATATTGCAAACATTTCAACTCCTGCCATCACCTTCATGCGTCAAACCTGTCTAAACTGGTTTGGTACTTCTGCAAAGGCAGGTGGGGTTGATAGGAGTGGGAGATGAACAGCATATTCATTGATCAAAGGTCTCCCATCAGACAGGGAAGGATTCTGGCTTTTAATCTCAATGGTCCTAAATGTATCTCAGGTAGAAACAGTGAGGTTCACCATGAAATTCAGTGCAACTTATCCACACACGTACACTGCAAAAAAGTTAGTAACAAACATGGCAAATGTTCTTCAAAGATAGGGTAGATTTTTTTTTTTTGGTCCCTTCCCTTTTGAAAAATTCTTTGTACAGTTGTAGGATTCTTCGAAGACCATTTCATAAATCCAGAGTTGTATTGTCATAATCTGTGACAAAATATCTATAAGAGGAAGGTCAAAATTTATCCATGGTTTTCTCTCCTAATTAATTTTGCTGCTGGGCTTCAGTGCCTTCAAATTAACTGTACTGAAGATGAGGGAAGACAAAGTTAAAAAATGGAACAGTTGATTGGGAAGGTAAAGAGTTTTATGTTTGGGAAATGAACAATTAAGCCCCCAAGTACCTCACTATAGCTCCATTTTTCTATGATAATTTAATGTAGCTTTGATTCAGAGTTTGGTGGAACAAGGAACTGATTTGACTGTAATTTTTGATCATGATCTCCACCCAGGAAAACAACATGAGACCTTCTAGGTCAGCTCAAGGCTTGGCTTACCCCAGAACCTTTGTCATTTAAATGCTTTGCTTCCAGAGAAGCCACCCTCTGTACACAAAAGTAATACCTCTGCCTTTGGTATTCATGCACCAACAACCAGTATTCAGACACACTGCCTATGGATAGGAAGGCTAGCGTAGCTGAGAGCTGTTGATATTCCTTTCTTCTAAATGTGTGCTGGACTGCAACTGTCATGGCCTTTAGGCATACGTGGGGGGATTCAAAGAGCTGCAGCACCAACACAACTACTGGGAGTAAAATGAGGCTGAAGCACTGCTTAAACAGCTCATCACAAGTTTTCAACTCTGCTCATAACAACAACATCATCTATATTTCCCCCAAGAATCCCATCGGTCAAATAGAACAGGTAGATCAATTCACTGAAAATTGTATTTTTCTGGGTTTTCAAAAAACACTCCTTTACCTGGGAATTTGAACTTGGAAACTGTTAATAGAGAGGTCCATATACTGAACACATCTGCTTTCCTTCCAGCCATTTTAAAATCATGTCCATGCTAGGTGTGAAACTATCAGGACTATATTCTTTCAGAAACTTCTAGCTCATTTCCTGATCTCCCTTCAAGTGGGCAGAATTTTTTTTTTTTTAAGTCCTGATTTGGAAGGAACTTCTCACGTGCAGAACCCCACTTTGGTTTGCTCTCCTCACAGCTGGAGGCAGGTAACTTCACAGGCTGACCGTAATGGAAACCAACATCAGAAGGCAGCGTGGAGTCCTATGTTATAGATCTGGCAGAATTCAGGCTGTCAGGACACCAAGCATGCTCACTTTTTTTTTCTTATTTCTAAAATCTGCATCCTTCCTTTCTGCCTAAATGGCATTCAAAGCAGCTATCAATAACCCTAAACCAGTGTTGTTCCACAACACCCCCCCCTAAAAATAATTACTGCCCACACCCAACCAAAACACCACCCCACAGCC